CTCAATCAAGATGGCCGCCAAGATGGCCCTGGAGCACCCCAAGAGGGTCCCAAGTCAGCCCAGAGAGGCCCCCAAGACGGCTTCCGACGTCGTCAGACGGGTCAGGAGCTCACCAAGACGGCCAAAGAGGCCCCCGAGAAACCCCCAAAGGCCCCCAAGAGGCCCAAGGAGGCCCCCAAGATGCCACCAAGAGGCTCCCAGGAAACTCCCCGGAGGCCCCAAGAGTGTCCCGATGGGCTCCCAAAATGTTCCCTCCTCCTCCTCATCCTCCTCCTCCTCCTCCGCCTCCTCCGGATCTTCCCCGCCATCCTCCCCCAAGCGTTCCCCGAAGGGTTTCCACAACGGTTTGGGGAACACATTATCCGATAACTTGGCGGAGCTATTGCCACGACGCTCGGCCACACGGGCGATTCTAGAAGACAGGGGGCGGTGGTGATTTGCCGTAGGCGTCTTCGACACATTCGCTCAGATGTCACCTGCTACTTCCAACTCACCCCAGACAGGACATCAGCATATAGCCGCGCCACCGGCAAGAACCTGAATGCGTATCGCATTGTGCCACGGGTCCCCAATCAAAATTTCTGGTCACAAGCCACAAGCCAAATTCCATAACTTTGAAAACGTAACCAGGCGCATGCTGCACCACTCGTGGATGTTTCTGCAATGATTCGCTCGCAAATCACTCGCACCGAAAATCTGGCACTCAAAGCAGGCGGCGATGAGTTTTCCCAGTGGGGACAACTCCATGCCAGTCTGGAACCCGCGGCCGACAATAATGCGTTCAATCTAGACACGCTTTCACCCAGCGTTCCTACATCCATGTCTCTCGAGGGCTCAGGCGTTAATCGCTCACTCGGCCCATACGCGGGCCTCGCATTGACTGCCACCAAAAACATAGCATCGAGCGGAAACTGGCGCAGGCGAGCCACCTTGCCGCACCGCCAGCTCCACAAACGAAAATCCTGTATGGATGACCTTTGAAGTCCAAGAGGATACTTTTACAATCCACAGCACGCGAACATCGATCAACCTGACGTCGATCCTGTTGGTAAGCGCCGCGTCGCTTCACGCCGCCAACGAGAACTCTACTGCGGCGCGGAACAGCTGCATCTCCAGCGTCTTGAACTCCAGGGCCCTGTTGACAGTATGCCTCGAAGGGTCGCCAATCGCGCATGACTGACCACGCCATGCTGCTGTGCAGAAAATGCGCGCATGGATAACATGTCAAACCCAGTTCATGTGTTCTTCCATTGGACGAACAGACCTATCGAGGCTGCCGCGACGTTTGGCGCCAACACCCTTGAAGCACCAGGTTCTCCCCACCCTTCTCTTTGTATTTCCCCCGGCTACGACCGACAGCAGAGTCATCGTCCTGCGTGGCACCAGTTCCACGTTCTGGAAAGCGATCATGCCATCATTCCGACGGCGGACAACCGCGCGACGGTACGCTGCGCTTGCTTTCATGATCGCCGCCGCAGACTGCGATCAAGGAGTCGCCCAAGTGGGCAAAATACACATTCTATGAATATGATCTGGCCAGTCAGCGAAGTCGCCCAGATCCACCTCCAAGGGTCGCTCTCAAGCTGCCGCAAGACATGCTTGCCGAGCCTCGGGTTCACCGCCTGGCGCCACGTACGTGGTGCCTGGACAAGGCAATTCGCCGACTTCTGTAACGACGCCACCTGCAACGGAAGAAACGAAGCTATGAGATCCCGATGGTGGGTCGCATGCGGATCGAAGTGTCGCTCCAACTCCATGCGAGCGCTAGTGCCAACGTCCGAGCCGTATACGATCTGCGTGGTGGCGCATCCTCTTGCTTCAAACGCGTCGTCCAGCACTTACTGACCTTCACCTCGAGTAGAGAAGAAGAGAGGAAAAGATAATAGAAAGTGCCAACGCAAACATGGTTTCCCACTTTCTGATGCACCGGGAAGCTGAAATCCCCCATAGAGGGCAGGTAAGTAGTTCAAGCTGGCGCGTCAGCAGCTGATATAAGTTCGCGCAGTCGTCTGAGACAATGATGCGGCGAGGCAAGACAACTGGGTTGACGATGATATGGGAACTTGCGGCGACGAGCATTGCATTCGTATGCGTGAAGATCAGGATGTTCGCCGTTACGACGGCGAATCCAAATGCCGAAGCCTTCGGGTGCCATCTCATGCCGAGGTGCATCCAAACCGTAGGTGTCATCATCCCCGGCACAGGAAAATTACCCTGCGACGTACCCAACCCACGTGCGTCAAATGGCAAGAGGAGCATGCCAACATTAGCAGGAACAACGACCGTGTAGGCGCGGCGATTTGCTGCGCAAGCTACATGGGATGCGCATGCGTTGCACGATTCACAGGACGACGATCGAAAGAACGAGGATTGAGGCCCCAGGATCGAAAAAATAACGGGTATGGGAACGAGGGGTAGGAGAGGGATGGAATGGAGGGCGGGGGGGCGAAAGGCCATCGCGGAAGCAGCAGCATGCATGGAGAAGGTGGGGCGGGGAATAGGACGACGATGAAAGTGGCGGGAGGAGACAGAAGACTGCCGCGTTTTTCAAGTGCGAGCTAAACCCGCAGCGCTGCCTGCGCCATGTCGTCGCAGAGTTCCACATGATAAAACTTGTTTAGAGTGCAAGGAACGAGCGAGGCGTAGCTCGCCCGCTAGCTTCTCCGCCTCCTTCCCGCACATTTCAGCGCGGGAGCTGAACGCTCGCAGGCGCGCCGCCAGGTCTGCGGGCGGCCCGCGGGAAAGAAACTCAAGGCCGGGGTCGCGTATCATCAATCGGTTGTCCATCGTCCAAAGTTGCACTGGCGACGTACTGGTTGAACGCGGAGCGAGCAGCATCACGCGCGTGCCTGAACGCCACGCAGGTACAGTACACGCGCGATTGGGACTTCAGGTCGATCACGCGCGTCCCCACCAGGCTTGGCAACACCACGTGACCGTTTCGCAGATCGCAGCCCCCCAGGGATGGCGAGGTCTGAATCTGCGTGATGCCTCACTCCGCTGGACCCACCAGCAGCCCTCGAATGTGGCGACAGTTTCGCAGATCGCAGCCCCCCAGGGATGGCGAGGTCTAATCTGAATCTGCGTGGTGTCTCACTCCGCTGGACCCACCAGCAGCCCTCGAATGTGGCGACAGTTTCGCAACCAGCAGCCCTCGAATGTGGCGTCAGTGTCGCAGATCGCAGCCCCCCAGGGATGGCGAGGTCTAATCTGAATCTGCGTGGTGCCTCACTCCGCTGGACCCACCCTCAGCCCTCGAATGTGGCGACAGTTTCGCAGATCGCAGCCCCCCAGGGATGGCGAGGTCTAATCTGAATCTGCGTGGTGCCTCACTCCGCTGGACCCACCAGCAGCCCTCGAATGTGGCGTCAGTGTCGCAGATCGCAGCCCCCCAGGGATGGCGAGGTCTAATCTGAATCTGCGTGGTGCCTCACTCCGCTGGACCTACCAGCAGCCCTCGAACGTGACGACAGTTTCGCAGATCGCAGCCCCCCAGGGACGGCGAGGTCTAATCTGAATCTGCGTGGTGCCTCACTCCGTTGGAGCCACCAGCAGCCCTCGAAAGTGACGACAGTTTCGCAGATCGCAGCCCCCCAGGGACGGCGAGGTCTAATCTGAATCTGCGTGGTGCCTCACTCCGCTGGACCCACCAGCAGCCCTCGAAAGTGGTGACAGTTTCGCAGATCGCAGCCCCCCAGGGATGGCGAGGTCTAATCTGAATCTGCGTGGTGCCTCACTCCGCTGGACCCACCAGCAGCCCTCGAAAGTGGCGACAGTTTCACAGATCGCAGCCCCAAAGGGATGACGTAAAAGGCAAGAGACAAGAGGAGGAGCGAAGAGAGGAGGAGAAGGGAAGCAAGAGAGGAGAAGCGAAGAGAGGAGAAGGGATGCAAGAGAGAAGAGGAGGAGCGAAGAGAGGCGGAGAAGGGAAGCAAGAGAGGAGAGGAAGAGGGAAGAGAGGAGGAGGAGGCGGGAAGGAAGGAAGGTTGAGACCGCAGTGCTCTATCCAAAACGAGTACCCAACGCAGGAGGGTTGGGAAAAAGAGCCGCGAATCAATGATACATACGTGTCTTAACAAAAGAGAGCCGAATGCAATTACGCCTGGGAATCGGGGAACCCAATGGCCGTCGAGCTTCCAAACTTCAGAAACCGGGCAAGGACTCAAGCTCGAAGAGACAACGCATATGCACACCATCGCAAGCACGAACATCACCGGGCAGAAGGATATCAAGAGCTGGCTTGTGATGTGCGCAAGCATCCCCAGGAACGGGACGACGAACTGGATAACTGGATCATGAACTCGATCGTGAAGCGCACGTAGAAAGCAATAGACAAAACCATGATTGGTACAAGACGTTCAGCGCACAATTGTGCCTGTTGCGGCACCTTCTTGAGCTGCTAAGCCGCTGAGCTGAGCCCCCCAAGACACAATGAGCACCAACGTTACCAACACTTGGTGTGCGCCTGTGTGTAAGCCCGGCAAGCTCGCACGCTCCGTTAACAGCGTCAGGGGGACGTGTTTGACGAGACAATCAAGGATGCCTCTCGGGACATGAGCGGCACAGGGTTCAAGTTCAGGCGCAGCCTCATGATAGTCGTTCATAAGCTGACAAAACATAAAGTGCAAGTGATATGTGCACAGCGTCACGCAATGCAGTGGAATTATGAGTACCCAAATGTCACGCCGACCTTGCACACGGCGTGCGGTAAGAGAACGCTATCGAAGCATCGTGCTCGAGGGATAACCCTCAAGCAAATTTGGGTGCATATGAGAAGAGAGAAGAAGGGAGGATGGAGGCGCGATCAGAAATTCGGACTGAGGTCCTAGGAAGAAGAAGGAGCAGGGGAAGGAGGCGAGGGATGGCGAGGAGAGAGGAAGGGAAGGCGGGGGGGGGGGGGGGGGCGAGGACGGAGAAGGAGAAGGGCAGGAGATGTAGTAAAGAGCCTTGCGCCCTGGGCTGTGGGGCTGGCGGCGCTTCCCAAGGGAGCCTTGGATATCAGATTCATGTTCCACTCGAAGCGCCAGTGGCCGAACTGCATCTGATGATAATTCGTCATGTCGCCTGCCCCGTCCCGAGACCTCTGGGGTCCTGAACAAAGTCAGGGTGTCCAGTTTCCTGAGTGTGGGCCTCCAGAGGCCTGCTTCGGACCCCAGCACCAATGGAAACAAAAACAAGAAGGCGCGAAAGCAATGCAAAATATTGCCGAGAGGTCCAGAAGCCCACGCATTGAGCATAACACAAATGTTGGAGGTCTTGGCAACCCACGCTGCACTCTGTTCCTGTCTCTGTGTGTCTATGTGTCTGTCTCTCTGTCTCTCTGTCTGTCTGTCTGTCTGTCTAGCTGTCTGTCTGTCTAGCTCTGTCCATGTCTCTGTCGTTTTTTCTGTGTCTGCCCCTGTCTCCATCAGTGTTGTTGTGGATTGTTCTCTCTCTCTCTCTCTCTCTGGTCTCTGTATCTCTTTATCGCGCTCTGTAAATACGTATGTGTCTACACATGTGTGTCGCGCTCTCCCTCTCTTTGTCTCTTTATCCCCCTCTCTCTCTTTCGTCGTGTCGTCTCACTCTCTCTCTCTCTCTTTCCCTCTCCCTCTCTCTCTATTTGTATGTGTATACACGTCCCTTATCGTACACCTGGTCTCCCTCTCTATGTCACTCGCCTCATCATTCTCCTTCTGCCTCTCTTACCCTTACCCTCTCACCCACCCCTTGTGCCTCTCCTTGCTCCCGCCTCCCGCCTCCCTCCTCCCTCATCTGCCCCCGCCGGGTGGACGCAGCAGCTCGACTTCCACGACCAACCCCCCCTCACTGGGCCCGCAGAGGCTCACCAGAAGAGCATGCTACCAGGCGCCCGATATCCCCTCTCCATGGCCGAGGGCCGGGACACGGACTGCCGGCGTTTGCGCACGCCCCCCTCCGTCCCCCCTCCCTAATCCTGTTCCTCCTCCCCCTTTTTTTTTTTTTCCCTCACGTCGACCACGGCGGCTGGATGCCTCGACAACTTCGCATGGCCGCTGCCCCCGGCCATGGAAGGAAGCCGGGCTGCGTGGGCAGCCGACCACCAAAGAATACGGAGACGCTATCAGGCACGTGGCAGGGACAGCGAAAGAGCACCCGAGACAATTATTGCCCGGGGGCCAGGGCGAAAATGTTACTTAAGACCGGGTTTTTCGAAGGCACGAGGAGGAGGGGGAGGAGGAAGGAGAGCACTGAGCAAAGCCCTGAGGGCCATCGCCAGCCGACTCCTGTGAGTCTGGGCGCCCCGCTGACCAGAAGAAGGCGTGCTCCCCAGGTGTCGCGCTCATTGGCGAGTCAGTACATTACACGCGGGAAGAAATGCGATGGGCAGCGACCACGGACGACAACGACGAGGAGCGGAGGCGAGGAGGGGGGAACTAACTCAGCTTTGCCACACTGCGGCCACGAGCGATGCGAGGCGAGGATGCGCAGCACAAGCTTCCCTAGCGTACTGCCACATGGCCTCCCGCGCGTTGGAGGTGGCCCCGTGGCGCGCCGCTGTGGATGCCGCGTAAACGCAATGCACCGCCAGGGCACGGCGAGCGATAGCGCTCGCCGTGTCTTCGGAAAAACGGGGGGAGAGGAGCAGAAAGTGAGACCAGCGCTCGCCGGGTGGAGGGGCAGTCAGCGCCAGCTGCCTGCGCCCGAACTCCGCGACCCTGGAGCAGTGGATGTAGTGCTCGACGCTGTCCTCCCCGTGTCCGCATGCAAACGCGCAAGGCGCTGGCCTCTGCATGCGGCGCCCTGTAGTCCAGCCGTTGCACATGACGCGGTAGACCGATGCCCACACCCGCGGGGGCACCAGCGGCGCCAGGCCGCGGAGCGCGAGCGTCGCGCGCTCCAAGCGGCGCCCACGGAGCACCGGGAGTTGGAGACGAGAAAGGCAGCGGTCGAGGTGGCGGACGGCGCCCTGCGGGCGCGGGTCCGCCAATATAATCCGACACCGCTTCTGCCATTCAGACCTCGGCGCTGGTTCCGGCGCGTCGCCCTGAACCAATGCCTCGACCGACGCTCTGGCTGCTGCTGCCTTGTGTTCCAGATGGCCGCGCGCGTTTGTGAGGTTCGTGAAGAAATTCTGGCCGTACCAGCCGCTCCAGGCAACCAAACGATCCAAATGATCAGAATCCAATCGGAGTGCGTCCAAAAAACGAAAACGACGACGTACCTGAAGTCCTCCATGAGCTGTGTTCTCCCATCGATATACCCGGCACTTGGCCGCGATCGCCACGGAAGCTGCGTCGACCAATTCCGCGTGAAACCCCAAGGACCGCAAGCTCCGGAGCGCCGCTGGGGTAGTCCAGCAGCGGGGGCCGGGGAAGAGGAGGACGCATGCCTGCTGCTCCACAACGTCCCAATTGGACGGCAACTGGTCCAGCTGCAGGAGGAAGGAGAGCACGGGGAAGATGTAGGTGCGGTAAGCCAAGAGGGTCAGCATCATTCCGCAGCCGATGCCCCGCCACACCTTGGCCCGGGAAATGAACTTGTCCAAAGCCTTTGTCCACGAATGTTCACCGCGTTCCGGACCGACGACGAAGCCCAAGTAAGTTGCGTACCGGCGGATGGTGAAGTCGCTCCACGTGGGCGCGGCCACTTGGAGACGCCCTCTCACGCGGTCGGTTGATTCCAGTGCCAATGGAACCCAAACCGTTTTTCCGTGGTGTAGTCGCAGCCCCGACAGTCGCTCGTACTCGTCGAAAGTGTGCTCAAGAATGGAAGCGCCCCCCGTCCCGCGAACCAGGCCGACGGCCAGGTCGTCGGCGTAGGCGCGAGGAACGGCGTCTGGGATGAGGCGCGGGAGCCTCCGCAAAAGAACATCCGAAAGCACGGCGAAGAGGAGCGGGGAGAGGGGGCAGCCCTGGCGGACCCCCGCGGTGAGCTCGAAGCCGTCGAAAGTGGACCCGCCGTGCGCGATGCGGCACCTGTTGTTCCGATACAGCGCTTGGATGAAATGCACGCACCATGGCGGCCAACCCCGGGCCGCGATGACATCAAGAAGAAACTCCTGGCTGACGCTCGGGAAGGCCGCCTCGAAATCGAAGAAGACCATGGCGGACGAGTCGTACTTAAGCGAGTGGTGGAGCATGAACTCTTCGACGTCCATGAGGTTTGCAAGCATCGAGCGCCCACGCAGGAACCCCCGCTGGCAATCGGAGACCCCGGGGGCAACGGTGGGCTCAATGTACATGCGGACCGCGCTGCATATAATTCTGTTGTCTGTATTCGTGATGTTCAAGGGCCGCATGTTCGAGGGGACATAGAACTCGATGCCGTCTCCAGTAATGCCTGATGGCTTCTTGGGGAGGAAGACCATGGAGCTCTCATTGAACGAGTCCCAGTCCGAGTCCATCAGCGCCGCGCCACTGGGGCTGGCGATGGCCAGGAAGGCCTCGTACAGAGCTCTCGTCGCGAAGCCGCCTAAAGCACGCCATGCGCGGAACGGGATCCCATCTGGTCCAGGAGAGCTGTTGCTCGTGTGCTGGACCGCCCGCTCGAAGATCTCGAAGGGCACGGCGACGCCGGGCGCGCACTGGCGGTCTGCCAGCGAGGCGTGCGAGGCCTCGTCTGCAAGCCAGGTGCGGCGCAAGGTTGTGTCCGTTTCCCGTCTGCGGAAGACCCCAGACCAATGGTCGCGCAGAACTCCTGCGATGTGCTCTGGTGATGTGCTCACGTGGCCAGCGCTGTCACTGAGCGCGTAGTGGGAGCAGCCGCGGCCAGGAGACAAGCGTGTAAGAAGACGATGGTTCTGATGTCGCCGCCGCGCCGCCTGCGCATCGGAGAGGTCCTTCAAGTCGGCGTGGAGCCTGCCCAGCTCGTCGATGGCGTGATCGCGAGCAAGGTCGGCAGCGTAAACTCGGACCAGCCGGAGGCGACGGCCAGGGCTCGTGTGGAAGTCGTAAGGGTTGTCCACGAGATCCTTCAAGATGGGATACCGCTGGATGCATTGGCTGACGCCGCCTGCCGAGCCCTTTTCTGAGGCGCGGAGGAATTTCATGGTGACCCCGAGGCGATCCTCGTGCGCAAGCGGGCCCGGCGGACCCGAAGCCTCGAAGCCGAAGTTCTTGGCGGCCTCGCGCATGGCCCGCTTGAGTAGCACGAGCCGCCGTGGAGGCGAGGCGGAAGGTTCGCTGTCCAGCATCTCCTGCCACGCGAGCGCCACTCTGCGCGGCCATTCGGGGTGATCCAATGTGAGGTCCGATATCGGGGCGCATGAGTCGGGTTCCCGCTGCGGCAGTGAACGCCGAAAGCTGACGGCTCTATGTCGAGATAGCTCTGACTGCCACTCCAATGCAGCGCAAGTTAGCTTCCGATCAAAGCCTTCCACCACGGCCTGATTACAGTAAATGCGGTCCAGGCGCGATCGGGACGAAGGCGAAGCATACGTCATGTCGGGCTGGTGGAGCTCGTGGAGGCCATGAGGAAGTCCCAAATGTCGGTGCCAACTTGCCTCTTCCCCGCGATCCCGCCCACCCGTGACGGCAGCGGTGGAGGTGCAGCGTCTGTCGCAAACGTCCGCAACATAGTTGAAGTCTCCTCCGAGGATCGTGAGAACCTGGTCCCTGGAAGCGATGTGCCGCGAAAACCGCCGTCGGAGAGCGTCTCGGAGTTCGGGGAAAGATGGGGGGCGGCCCAGGTGAGACAGCCCTGCAGCCTCGATGTCTTCTGGGGAGGCGGCAGCACCAGTGTGGAAGTATACGACAACAACGCCCAGATTGCCACTGGGGCCTCGCAGATGTAGTACTGCAGCACGACCCGGGAGAATGATCTGCCAGTGAGGGTTCGCCGCAAACTGCTTGAGGAAGGAGTTCTTGATCGTCACCCCCACTCCTGCCCTGGCGGGCGTGGGGCCTGGTGACCACCAAGATGTGCAAGCATCGGGATTTCTCCACACCTCATTGCCTCCATTGGACCCGTGCGTCTCGGTCCAGAGGCCGATATCGTGGGTGGCCATCAACTTCCTCACGTAGGTCGCCTTCCGGCGATGACGGCCGGGGTCCGCGGCGAAGAGGGCCTGGGTGTTCCATGTGATGACGGAGACATCGCCGAGGTACGGGCTGTGGGCGAGCGAAGGCTGACCTCTGGGTGCGCGAGTGCGTGGAGGCAGCGCTGCAGGGAGCGCACTGGGGCGCAGCGCGCGCCGAAATGCGTTCTGAAGCCGAATCTGGACCGGAACGTCCGTCATGGAGTCGTCGGGCAGCTGATCCATTGAGGTAGAAACATGATGAAAAAGATGAAGAAGTGCAAGTGCAGGTAGCTGAGTAGATGTACGCCGAGAACGTTGAGAAGAAGGTGACGAAGAACAAGACGACGTGATATGCCCACTCATGCTGTAGGGAGCGCGGCGCTGGGAGCCCGGGCCGGCACTGGCCGGTTGGAGCTCGAAGGCGACGTCCACGAGCCAACATGAGGTACCCTTGCAATCAAAAATCTGAATTCCATAGCTCGTCGAAGGCGCTGAGGAGGTCACGCGGCGGCGGGGGAGGCAGCCCCCTGCCCCCCCCGCCGCCTGTTTCCCGGCAGGGTGCGAGAGTCCTGGACGTCGTTGGACACCCTGATGGCCAAGAAGTCCACGCCGACCTGGAGCACCTGACCATGCAACGAGCGATACACCTGCTGGACATCTTCCTGTGAGTGTAGGTACACGCGTGCGCGGCCAGGATGAGCGCTAGCGTCCCGAGAAGCAAGATGGACCCACTGTCCTGGCCGTGGCACCTGACCTGGGGGGGCCGCGGAGAGCGCCAGGCCCGTGGCAGCACAGACGTGAGACAGGAGCTGATTGATGACCACGCTTCCGTTGTCCCCGGTTTCCCCGGCGACGGTGATCTCCGCGATGTTGTCACACATGGTGGAGCTGCGACCGCCGCGCCCCCGCTGGCGACGGGAGGCAGCGAGGGCGAGAGCAGTAGCGGATGGAAATGCCCAGGGACGGCCGCCATAGCTGCTGGCCTTGTGCTTAATGTTCGTGATCGCGTGGTTCTCATCCTCCTGGAGGCCCCTGTCGAGCAACGCGGTCCACGACTCCACGGAGGCCGACGTGAAGACGAGCACCCTGTCGGATGAGAGGAAGATCGCTTGTGAGCACAACGGCCACGCACGGACCAGTCCCAGCGGGCTGTTGCACTCCACCACGAGGGCGTCTGGAGACGTGTACAGCTCCTTGTGCCCAAGGTACATCTGCTCAGTCAGCACGGTCCTCCGCAGGAAGCGCATGGCGAGCATGGAACCCGCCTCGGAAAGAGAGCTCGGTAGAATGATCTCCACGCACACGCGCGGGACCTCCGGAGTGCTGCCCCAACTTCTGGAGGTATGCCGGCAGAGGAAAGAAACACCATGGTTGGTGACCTCGGGGCTGAGCATCCTGATCATGAAGTTCGGGAAGAGCTGAGTCGGGACGTCGACCCAAAAAGAGTTCACCGCGGGGAGCTGGAGCAGCGGGGCCAAGGGGGAGAAGACGGTCGGTGACGATCGGTGTCCTGCCGTGGTGATGGTGAAGCTCGCGAGGCCCTGCCGTACATGCCGGGGAGCGGACCTTCCAGGGAGGATGTACTCCACAGGCTGCAGGATGATATCCACGGCACGGACCAACGAGATGTACAGCGGCTTCTCGCCGAGGAGCGGGTGCCACCAGAGGTCGAAAAGCTTCGCCGGAGAGTCGACACCAGGAAAATGGGGGATCGGAACCAGAAGCGAAAGTCGCTGAGGGCGAAGTGCTGGATCGGGCTGTCGGAGTAGACCGGCAAGGATCCTCTGGAGCGCATTGGTGTCCACCGGTGCCCAAGCCAAGATATGTTGCCCCCCCATCTTCTCCAGGGCCCGCGTGTCGCCCTTCTCCAAGAGTGTGGCCAATTCACGGTGCTGCTCCAGTGTGGCCGAATGGTCCGTGGTAGTGTTGCTGAGGAGCTGGGACCACTGCGTGGCTAAGGTGGCGTCTGCGCATGTTGGGATGGCGCGGACTGCCTGTAGCGCAGACGCTCCCAACTCTTTCCATCGTGGGAGCTCGGAGGGACGGAGACGGCGACGCTCGCGCAAAACCTCGTCCAGCTGCTCCGCGCACCGCGCGCCAGCGGTCGCGAAGTGAGCAGCGGCCGCCTCCGCGCTCGCTCTCCCAGCCGGGTCCCAATCGGCAGCCTGACCGAGGGAGCACAGGATGGTAGCCGTCCGCGTGCGACTTGCGATGCCCTGCTCGGTAGGCGCGGGGCCGTCGAGTGGGCCGAAACCCAAGACATTCCATGGGTTGGCGGAGACGGGGTTGTAGGCTAGTTTCAGCAGAATGGCGCGGAGGGCCTCCCAGGTGGAGGGAATCTTGATGGGGAGATTCTGCAGGTCCTGCGGCAGCGTCATGTTGGCGGCCTGCACCAGCCCAAAATGCTGCGCCATTTCATCATCCATGAATTCCGCGAGCCATGCGTCCGGAAGAGGGCCGTGGCCTGGTAGTCCAGGAGGGGGTTGCACGGCAAGGTTCGCAGCAGCCTGGGTGAGGCCCGTCGCGTCGTCGTCGCCGGAGGCGCCACCATGTGCGGCGCAGAAAGCCAAGCCCGGCAGCGCCTCGCCCTGCACCCCATGGCGGAGGCAAACCTGGCACGGCGCCATGGCAGAGGGAAGGTCGGGAGTGCAACTGGTGTAGAGAAACACTAGGACGGCACCCCACCCTTGGCAGGGCTCCTGGTCGGGGGCCTTCGGTGACCTGGTCCGCTTGAGGGTTAAAACTGAGGCCTCAGTTTTAACCCTCGGAAGTGGCAACTTGAGCCACGATTTTACTTGAGCCATGTTCCCTCCTCTTCCCTCCTCTTCCATGCCTCCCCCTCCTCCCTCCTTCCACAATCATCCCTCATATCCTTCGTCCTCCCCTCTCCTTCTTCGTCCTCCGTCATCCATCCTCCGCCCTCCCTTCTCCTCCCACCTCCCCCGCCTGCGCCTCCTCCTCCTCCTCCCTCCTCCTAATCGGCCTGGAGGGCCTGGATGGGACCTGGAGACACAGCGGGTTAGCCCTGTCTGGCTTCGGAAATTCGGAAGCCCGAGTTTCTGGGCTCCCTCGCTAGACTTCCTACTTCGCTCGCGAGACAGGACGGTTCGGGCTGGACCTCTCGATTCGCAAGTCCGAGTTCGCCCTCAGAATTATCCGCTTCGTCCTTCGAACCCCTCTTCACTCCTCTTCCTCCTCCTATCCCACCCGATCCTCCTCGTCGTCACGTCCTCCTCCTCCTCCTCCTCTTCCTCCTCCTCCTCCCCTTCCCCCTTCTCGTCACGCATGCTTCCTTGCGAAGGGGTGCGCCGTTTATAGCGTCTAGCGTGGGCATCACCAGCGCGTTCGGCTCCTCCGCCAGCCTGTCTAGCAGGGGCTCCAGCCAGTGCTTGTTGGCCTCCCACCAGAAGGGTGGGGGGGAAGGGAGGGGAGGAACGCGGAGGGTGAACCCGCGGAAACGGGGATGACGAGAAGGGGGACGCGGAGGATAGGCGACTGAAAATGGGATACGGAGATGAGGAGGAACGGGAGAAGGATGGGGAAAACGACGGTGAGGAAGGAGAGGAGGGAGGACGAGGAGGAGGACGAGAAGAGAGGAAGAAGGACGGAAGCAGGAGGAGAGAAATGGAGGAGGGAAGAATGGGAGAAAGGGGATGGAAAGGAGGGAGGGAGAGGGAGGAGAGACGACCGAGGAGGGAGGAGGGAGGATCGAGGATGGAGAGGAGGCACGATGGTAAAGACGATGAGGAGGGGGAGGAGGAGCAGCAGCAGCAGCAGCAGAGAGGAGGACGACGAGGAAGAGGAAGAGGCGGAATCGCAATGCTTGACTAACCCACCTGGCATCGGCCGTCTCGTTCCCCAAACAAGGTTGCACTGAAACATGCCGCTTCTACTCAGAAGAAAAACCTTCGCTAATCAGAACCTTAGTTGACCGACCCTGCCCATGACTGTCTCTGACTAGGTCCTGTCCCCAGCTGTCCGGCAGTCTCCAGAGCTGGCCCCGTCCCCGACTGTCCGCGGTCTGGTGCCCCTAGCGAGTCGCAAACTTCCTTGGTCGACCCTGTCCCCGACTGAAATGCGATTACACATGATGGATTCCACATGCATCCACATACGTTGAGTTGCTTCTACTGACTTCCAAGGCTTCTAATGTTTACAACTGCCTACCACTGTTTCCAATTGATGCCACGATGTGCTTCCAAATATTTCTGTGAGCTTCCCATTGTTTCCGCGGCGACAAGCATAGCTTGGGCTGAAAGGGGCGTCGATGTGACGACTACCCTAACCAGCCGACCGAGGATGGAAGTGCAGAGGAAACGAACTGGCCAAGGCCTGCACCTCATGGCTCATGCTGAATGTGCAGGCCTGCGAGACGCTGGCTTCAAGAGGGAAATCCCCGCAGTAACAAGTTGTTGTAGGGACTTGTGCAGGGCGGACTTGGGACAGAAATTGATGCATCTTGAGGGCACCCCGCCTTCGGGCCATCTTTGATCATCGTAATGGCCATCGTCGTGTGTTTCGTCCGTCTCCGAGGCCCTCTTGAGGCAGTTCGGGGGGCGACTTTAAGTAATGAGGGGCCTCATTGGGGCAATCGGGATCCATCGTGGAAGTTGTCTTGGGGCTCGTTTGGAGGTCCCAGGCCCGACAAAAACATATCCCCCCAGGTGAAGCCATCCCACGGGGGGACCCGATGCATACTTGGAACATGTGTATCTATAAATATAAAACCAATAGGTTCATGCATTGATCCTCATCTCACGCATGTACTCAAAGGCATGTTACTTGTTCCTATGTAGTCGACTGGGTGTTCGGGGGTCCACTGGGGTCCACGGTGGCATGTGTCCACATACTCAAACTACACATGTATATGCATTTGCATACATGTTTACACATGTATATACACGTGTATACGCGTATATCAGAGTGAAGGGGGCGAACGGTCATTCACTGTCCCTTGGCGCGTGGCTGAAGTGCGGTTCCGCGGTGCGCATTGTTATTGCGCTGTTGCGCTGTCATCGCCGCCCTCGCCCATGACCCGCCCGCGAGCCATAGCGCGAACCACCCGTCGAAACACTTGCGACCCACCCGCGACTCACCCACATTGCTTGTAAAATTCCGCGCCTGCGGGCTCGTTGTGTACGTAATGTGTTAAACAAGTCGGCGTCTGCACTGGCGACGACCACGTCGCCCCCTCACTCTTATCCGCAACTGCAGGAGTTTACACATATACGCATATACAAATGATGCCCTGTATGGTTTTAACGTTTCTGCGTATGAGGCCACCACCTTACGGGTTTTTACACCATCAGGTCACCTCCCTCGTTGCTCCTCTCTCCTCCTTCTCTCCTCCTCCTCCTCCACTGCCCTCTATCCTCCCTCACCCGTGCTACCTGTTCCCTGCGCCATGTGTCCCCTGCCCCCAATCCATTATCCCTGCACGTGCCGTGCCGCTGCTGCTCTCTTCTGATCCTGCTCATCCCTCTCCTCCTCATGTTGGCACCACGGTGTGGGGCTCGGTGAACATCAAGATGGACCCCTTGGCGCGAGCGGCAGCCTCCATCTTTGTCACGATCAGACCCTTGTTCTCCTATGCTGAAAGGGCGTTCATCAAGTGCGAGTGGAGGGAGTGCTGGAAGAAGAAAGGGAGGATGAGAGGGATCCTCCTTTGCTCCGCCCACCTCCTCTTCCCCCCAATATCAGATTCAGATTCCGTCGCCTCCTGCTGGAAAGCAAGCACGGGGAAAAAACACTCAGTGGCGGAAGGGTGGATACTGAAGCGGGCGAGAGAAAGAGTGAGAGACAGAGAGACAGACAGGACGATACATTAGCATGTAGCTATGCGCATAACATACACGCGTGCCCATACACATATATACATATATATATATATACACACGGCCAAATATACATATATGCACCTGCATGTATGCATGTATGTATATGTATAAATATGTGTGTATGGATGTGCGCCGGTGTATCACACCAATCTTGCCTCACTTTGGCATTGCGTTGGGGGGGCCGGCGGAAGCCGATCGGCTGACGAGTCGACAGAGTTCCCGCGCGATGATGGTCTCTTGTGTCTGGTGAAAGTTCGGATGGGAAAGAGATGGGAGGACAGCAGCGTGGAGAAGAGAACAACCGAGTGGGGCGCGATGGCCTTGAGAGGGGAGGAGTAGGAGTTCAGCCTGGTGGAATCGATGGGAGTGGGGAACAGCGGAAATGGCATGGGATGGGAGAAAGGGAACGGACTCGAGTGGAGAGGAAAACAATGGACTGAGGCGCAGTGGAATGGAGAGGAGAAAAGGGGACTGCAGCGGATGGGGAATAGGGGGCTGTAGTGGAGCGCGGTAGCGCTATGCGAAAAAAGGTCAGGGGAGATAACGAAGAAAGCACTGGAGCGGGGCACCATGCAGGTGAGAGAGGAAGGGAAGAAGGGCATGGATTGGAGTGGACAAGCGGAGCACAGGAGTGGGGCATGCGTTCATGGGATGCAAGGGGCCACAGAAAATGCTAGAATGCACTGGCGTTTCTAGGAGGCTCTACAACGGTCTAGAATGCTGTAGACGGTTGTGCAGTTATCATCGAATACTCTTGAGTGTTCAAGGTGTCATGGAGGGGGGGGGGGGGGAATTGCTGCTGGGGAACAGAATCTGAATGGCCCGAATGTCCTTTTGAGAATTCCAACGGGCACCGCATGCTTCTCGGGAGTGACTCAGACGGCTCAGGAGGATTCTGTAACGCGTTCGAAAGCTCTAGATAGATCGAGAGCGTTCCAATGTTCTCGAAGGCTCCTAAAAGACTCAAACAGATTCTGCTTCAGAGAGCATTGACATACACAGAGAGGCTTCTAAAAGGTTTCCGTCTGTTCTCGTCTGTTTTGGAGTCCCTTCGAGGGCTCTCGAATTCAGAAACTGCTTTTGCGGGGGGGGGGGCGCGCCAAAGACCTCGGACCGATTGTGGGATGCTCTAGCAGGCTCGAGTGCTCTAGAGGGTTCAAGAGGGCCCAGGGCGGCAAACGACTAATGTAGAGTGCGCTCGAAGGTTTGATGCGTCTGGGGCGTTCGCCGGTTGTCTAGACCACCCTCGGAATATTCAGGGTGTTCACGAATGCGTCGCAAGGGTCTTAGGGTGCCCTAGCCGAAGTTCCCAACAGGGTTGACAATGCTGTTTAAAAAAAAGCTCGGGGTAGCTCAACAAACATCTGGATGGCGAGACGGCGCCAGAGGACTTCTGGCATGGCCCAGAAGGTCGCAACAATATTGCACACTGCGTTCAAAGGTTTGACGGATCGATGTTATAGGGCACCCGGAGGATCTTGACGGACCAAAGTGGCTCTAGAAGGTCTCGCAGAGACGTTTCATGGACTTGTGGAATCCCCGTGAACCTCTGCTGGAGGGATCTGGCGCGCTTTCGAAAGTTCCCGACCGCTCTGGAGGGCCAAGATGGCGGGCACCGGCGCGCGGATGCCTAGGAGAGCGTCGCTGAACCAAATGCTGCGAACGACGCACGGGAGAACACGCAACCAAGTACATGCCATAATCGCAGTCAATCTCTGGGCGGCGATGGCGACTAGCATCGACGTGCGTATTTCGACACCCGCGCTGTAGCAAACCCTGTGTTCCTGCCCCTGCAGGATCCTTTGCGGATTGGAACGCCCTCGTTGCGCTCCACCTCGGCGGGGTAAGCGGGTGATGGGGGGGGGGGGGGGGGGGGGGGCATCGAAGCCCCTTCAAGATGGCCCTGGCGTTGGCGACGGCATGGGCCGCCCAGTGCCTCCCTGTTCGGGCGCGCGCGCGCCTCCCTCTATTCCTTGGTTGCCTGGTGGGCCCCTGGAGCTGGCCTCGCTGGATGAGCCCGCGGGGGTGGGGGAGTGGCGCCATGTCTGGGATATGGGCGGCTCGTTCCGCTTGGGCTGGGGGCGTCGCGCTGCCGCCGATTAACTTCGGGCCCCTGGGCCCTCGCGCCAGCATGGGCGGACATGCCGCGCGCGCGAACTTGAGCGATCCACTCCGTGTCAGAGATATCATCATAGCTCGCTCACGCACGCTGCTCTTTGGCGGACAGGGGCGGGGGGCCAGCGCCTTCGATTTCGTCTGCTCCGCCATCCACGTTGCAATCGGCTGCGTCATTTATGCCGAGGTGGCTGTGGTCGATGTGCGTTGCGGTTTCCAGATTGACGCTGCTGGCTCGTTTGCAAGAGCCTGGCGCGCTGGCACTGCGCTGCGTCTGCCCTGGCGGCGGGGCGCTCGGCGGCGGCGGCGCCCTGGGCCCGCTCGCGCTTGAAGCAGCGCTTGCAGGTGATCTCTGGTGGCCGCCCAGCCCTGCAGGGACCGGGGAGTTTTGACCCTGCCCCTCCCGCGGGCGAGGGCGACCCCGCTGCGGGCTGCTCCATCGCGATGGTTTCCAGTGAGACAATTGTAGCAGAGGGCCACTTCGGTTGGTCGGCCTTGGCCGACGTGTCAGTCTTCAACCTGACTCTGTGTCTTGGTAGCACTGCGACGTCCAAGTCTCGCGGCGCGGCAGTTGGCGCCGGCCAGTCCTGCGTCGGCGTCGCGTCGCCGCCGCGCAGTTCGAAGGCGTTTTGTGTCGCCCCTTGGGCGTTTGATCTAACCGCGTGCCAGCTCTCTCGTTCGCCCGTGCCGCTCCGTAGGCATCGCGCTCGGCGGCGGTCTGGCGGGCCACTTGGAGCGCGGCCCGGCGACCGTCAGCGCGCCGCGCGACGGTGTTATCACTGGGCTGGGGCCTAAGGGGCCGCCATAACTGGCGTCGAATTGGATGCCCCCATGGCCCGAAGCAGAGTGGCCAACGGGGCGTCGGCCGGCTTCGCGCCGAAGGTCGCTGATAACCTGCGTTTCCAAACAGTTGCGCCAGGGCGCCCGAGAATTCAATTTCTTGTTTGGATTTGTCTGTTGGGAAATGGGGCGCGAATGCGGCCGCGCAGGCTCCAGCGAGGTCTTCGCCCGCCTGGGCGCGCGCGACGTCGTCGTCGGCTGATTTGCGGCGTTCCCTTGCTTTTTTGCTGTGCCGCGCCCGGTCCGCTTGGACAGCGGTTGCCGTTGATTGGTGCGGCGCCGGCGACTTGGATTGCGAATGCTCCACTCCTCGGGCGCAGGTGCGACAGCGATGGCAAACGCTTGACTGAGGGCCGCGCGGATCCAGACGATGTTTTCGGCTCCGTCGAAATTGAACTGCGCGATATTCTGGAGGCGCTGACCCCATTCCCGTCCGAGTTGGTGGCTGGTTATTTGGATGTGGCCTGGCGCGCAATAGCTTTCGCCTTGCACTTCAGTGCTGGGGCCAATGCTTCCCCGCTGGGGCAATCCGCGTTGACAGGCCCCAAACTGCGAGGGCGAAAGGTTTGTCCCGAGCGCGGATGTGGAGAAGCAGGCGGTCGCCGCCCTCTAGCGCGCGGAGCGAGATGTTGTTGGCGCACGGGATTCCCCCCGCACCTTTCCGGGCGTCGCGGTGGCGGGCGCGCCCCAGTGTTGCGCGCCAAAGCTGAGGAGATGGGCCGCGCCGTTGCCCTGGCGGGCCTTCGACTTTGGCACCCTCTGGCGCGGTGCCACGGCCTGTGGCCTCTATGCGTGGGGGTCGATGGTTTCGATATGCTGCGCAATGCCGTTAGCTCGCCACTGAGCTTTCGCTGGTCGGAACGGCGATGTTGACGCACAAGCCCAGGCCCTCCTCGTGGGGCGCGTGGGTCGAGCCCCTTGCTCGAAGCAGATATGGGTGAACGTGGTGCCGCGGTGTGCATTCCGAATGTTGTGCAGGGCTCTCTTGGCGGCTTGCTGCGGGGAGGGCGCCCAGTCCGACTCCACCTGCGTTGGGGACACCGTGGAGTCAGCAATTGTGCAGAATGTTTGTTTTCTACTGCGCCTTCACCTGCCCTCTCCGGGGACTTCGTCGAGGACCCGCTGGAGGGAGGAGGTGATTAAACAGGGGGCTTGCAATATTCGAAGGTGAAGGGGCGCCGACGAGATCTTGCGGGCGAGATCCAGAAGATGCAGGAGTCACTTCGATC